CAAGAAGAAATAACGATTATAAACATATACAGTTGCACCTCAGTTTACAAACTTAATTCATTCCACAATTCTGGAAAAGATGGCTATGCTTGTGTTTGTTGGGGATAGATGGCCAAGGTCATGTTTGTCCCCCGATGCAGAGGTCACAAACAAACTAAACAAAAGAAGTTGTTTACAAACAAAAAAAGTGTTTGTAAACCGAGGTACCACTGTATGCACCAAACACTGGCCCCCCAACTTCATAAAACAAACACTACTGGACAAAAGAGATAGATAAAAAAAATCACAACTCACAAGTATCCTGCTATCACAGATAGATAGATCAGCTAGACACAAAAAAAGGGAAATACTAGAATTGAACCAAACCTTTGAAAGGTTGGACTTCATAGATATCTGCAGTGTTCCACCCAGCAACAGACAGCACATTCTCCTAGCAGCACGTGAGACTTTCTCCAAATAGACCACATGGTAGCCCATAAAACACGCATAAGTAAATCCAAAAGAATTGAAACTATCTCATACATATTAGCAGATCATAGAGCAATGAAACTAGAAACTAATGACAAAAGAAACCACAGAAATCTTGCAAACACATGGAAATTAAACCATACCCTCTCAAATGAATAGATATCTCACTTCCTACAAAGTTAAAATTGTACAGACTATATGTTTTTGTATACATTGCATTTAAAACTCAGAAAACCAAGAAAGCCTGGAAAGTTAAAAACATACATCTGAATAAGAAAAAAATCATGGAAATTAGAAAATAATTAGAAATGGTCATATTTTAAAATACTGTGTATCAGAAAAGCTCAGGTTTAGGGACATTCTGTGTAATATCTAATCAGAACTCTAAAACATTGTACAGTGTTTACAACTTGAAGATAATGGAAAACAAAGCTTAGAAGTATGTACAGTATTATCTTTAAGCATATTTATTAGACAAGAAAAAGATTAATGAGTCAAACATTCATTTCAAATAGGGGGAGAGGTAGATAAATCCAAAGAAGCAGAAGGAAGAACAATAATGAAAAGAAGAATTTAGTGAAATAAAGGGGGAAAAAAGGTGGTTCTATGAAAGCCCTAATGAAATAGACAAACCTGTATAGGATTGAACAAAAAAGATACAAATAAACAATATTTGGAATGAAGAGGGTATATTATGGAAATTTCATGTCAGATATATTTGAAAACCTAAAATGTAATTTTTTCCCAAAAGAACCAAGGATATCTTAAGATAATTTGGAGGAAAAAGGGAAAGGAGAGGGTGGGAAGATTTTAATATTACCGTAAAATTATAGTAACTGAAACAGCATGGTTAAGGCACAAAACTAGGCAAATCAGACAGTGAAACAGAATACAGACCTTAAAAAGAGATGCGAATATATACAAAAACTTTATAGGTGACTAAAGTAACAGGGGAAGGATGGAGTGTTAATTAAATGGTATTGGTGAAATTGGCCATCCTTATGAATAAAAGATGAAAATAATCCCTATCTCACAAATAAATTCTAAATAGATTAAAGAACCAAATGTGAAAATAAAATCCAAAAACTTTCAGGATAAAATATAGGAAAATACCTTTATGGATTTGACAGGGGAAAGAATTTCTAAACAAGTAAGAAAAAGCAAAAATTGTAAAGGAAAAGATTAAATATTTCATCTCAGTATATTGATCTACAAAGAATTGACATCCTGCAAATCAATTATAAGGATAATAGAAAAATAGACAAAAGAAAAAAATTGGCAGTGTACAGAAGAGAGGTGGAGAATGATCTCTGGGAGTTGGGAGGTATGTTTAACTTTAAGAAAAGTAGTGACGCAAACTACATTTGGGCTGGCACAGTGGCACACACCTATATTCCCAGCTACTGGGGAGACTGAGACAGGAGGATCACAAGGTGGAGGCCAGCCTGGGCAACTTAAGACCCTGTCCCAAAATACAAATGGGCTGGGAATGTGGTTCAGCATTTGCCTAGCTTGTGAGAGGCCCTGGGTTCAACCCTAGTATTGTTAAACACACATGCCCATGCACATACACATGTACATACACATACACACAGATGTACACACACTTACATATCTTTTCATATTTATCTATCTGATATTACCAAGAATTAGTGAAGATATAGAGAAATGAGAGTGTAAAGTTTTAGTTATTTGGGTAGATAATTTGTATTTGGGTAAGATCTATGGTAGTTGAAGGTAACCCATAGCTATGAATAAATACATGTATGAATATATATTTGTATAAGTATGTATACATATGTATGCATATACACATACATATATACTGACTATATTATACATACAGT